TTTTTAAACCTCTTAAAAGTGTTCTTTGGACTTTCAACTTAACTTGCTTTGCATGTATTAAAAATTAAAACATAGTAATACAATACAATTTTATGTTGTTCATGGCTTGAATGTTTAACTACAGGTACAATTGCGTAAGTTAGATTATATTTTGCTTTTAATGAGGTCCAAGTGACCTTGAAAATAACCACCTCCCCGCAGAACGAGGTGTTCCTGCTAGTATCATAGATAGACAAATAATACAGTTTCCAGTAACGCCGACTACTTTATGACACGGTTTTGATTTCAATCACTTAATTTGAATAATTTTTACTGCAATCCACAGAGGGAGGAGGGCTGCTTAGGGGATTGGGTGTCAGATTTATGACATTTGGTGCAAAGAAGTCAATGAACCTACAGCTTCCTCACTTGTGTAGTTCAATGATTTTGTACTCTTTGTTTTCGCTATCTATCCATTTGAGTTTCTTTTTCTAATTTGTTCAACTTGTTCACTTTTCATGGACCTCATAGTTTCTTCAATTTTAAAGTCCTAATTGCCAATTGCAGCTTTTGCATTCTTGTTTTATATTTAAACTAATAGTTTGCATTTGAACCTGTCCTCTAGCATGATCTGCCCGGTAGACTTCTTTCTGTGTGCTTAATACAATATTCACATGATCACTCTTTTTCAAGTTGGTTTTGATTTGTGTATTCTATGACTTCCTTTCTTGTCTGGTTATTTAACTGGACCGGTGGATGAGTCCTAAAACACTTTTCTAAGAGAATGGTAAGCTTACTCCATTAATCCAAAATTCCCCATATGGGACTATACACGAGGCTTTCACCCGTGCATTTTCAGGTTTACAGAAAATTAATGATAAAGCATTAATGTAACTCAACTAAGTAGCCAAGAAACTAACTGAAACTAGGTGCTGAATTGTAACTTTACTCTCATTTTTTAAAACTCTTCCCTTTTCTTCCTGCCATATGAAATAAACCGCAAGGATTGTGAGGGGAGGGAATTTCCCAAGTCAATAGGAGATAACGTTCTTTAGTTCTCTTTAGCTACAACTTGAAATGTTCCATTCCAGCTTCAATAGGGAAGTTCTAAGATTACTCTTATAAACTTCCGAAGTAACAATTTTTGGAGTCAAATCCCATCATCACCTACAAACGTCAAGTAACTTAACCTTCTTGATCTTTCAAATAATCAGCTTTTTGATCCCATTCCTTTTCAAGGGAGCACATTTTCAATACCATCCCGCCTAGACCTATCTCATAACTCACTTAATGGATCAATGCCACCTTGAGTTTTCAGTCTGCCTTCGTTATAGGTCTTGGTTCCCAATTGCAACTTTCTTCAAGATCAAATAAATCAATTCCATCAGAAATCATTGACAATCGTGGATTTGGCACACAATAATTTGAGTGGTTTTGTAGAGTTTGATGTGTTCTCAAAGCTTCAAAGTCTTGAATCCATCATTCTTTCAAACAACAATCTATCTTTGAGAATCAATGCTGATGCTGACTTCACATTTCCCAAACTAAAACATTTGATTTTGTCTTCTTGTAACTTGAGTGAATTCCCTAGTTTCCTAAGACATTCAAATGATCTTCAAGTTCTTGACCTTTCTGTTAACAATTTGAGTGGGAAGATTCCAAACTATCTCCAAATGTTGATGCACAAAAGTTTTTCCGTGTGGAGTTTGCATGCCAATAACTTTGACGGAGATATACCATTTAGCTTTCCAGAGGGTTATGGATTGCAAAGTCTCAACTTGTATGGAAATAAAATGGAAGGCTTGTTGCCAAGAGCTTTGATGAATTGTAGCTTGCTAGAGGTTCTAAACTTTGGAGACAACAAGATAGCAAATCTAAGAGTGCTGGTTTTAAGGTCAAATAGATTCCATGGTTTTGTAGTTAGCACCAAAGAATGTCCATCTTTTCCCAAGTTACGAATCTTGGACCTCTCCAACAATTACTTTTTTGGTCCTTTTCCTGTTCGATACATAGAAAATTTCAAAGCAATAGTGGATCATCATAGAGATGACAATTTTTCTCAATACATGATGACCCACGGCACTCATATGGCTTCTACCACTAAAGAGGTCATTTGGCTTCGCAACTTATTACACAGTTTTGGTATTCGCCAATCTCGCTCCACACCTCTTTACTGTGATCCTCAGGCAGCTCACCACATTGTTGCCAATCCTGTCTTTCCTGAAAGGACAAAACATTTGGAAATTGGTTGTCATTTGGTGCGTGAGAAATTTCGAGCTGGTATTGTTTCTGCACATTACCAATCTCTTCCTGGCGTAGGAGCCGATACCGAAACACCGATTTTGGCGAGATTTAAAATCCCACTACGATGAATTCGATTGCCAGGATCACCACTTAGGTTGGCAAGACCTAAGATACAGAGATAAATTGAGAGAATCCACTCTCAAGAAACTCAACTCAAAACAGAGGAGAATTGAAACTTCATTAACTGATAAAACTTATCTCTACAATGGTGATAACATGGCTATTTATAGGCAAATTCCAACGAAAGGCAATAAATGAAAAGTAAAGTGTAGTTGGGAGTTAGCCATCTTTGTGGAAAAAGTGGCCACTTTTGACAAAATTGCACCGGCCTACTGTAGTAGGTGGTGTTGCAGAGTAGCTTCTGCATGCTTGTTGCAATTTCTTGGTACTTTCTCCCAGTGTATTTTCTCCCAGTGCACTTCCTCTCATCAACCAGCTGATATTTTCACAAAGGCATTGGGCAAGGACAATTTTTATTTGATGCGGGACAAGCTGGGCATTAATGACCCTCATGCACCAGCTTGAGGGGGAGAGTAAACAGTATCTGGTATAAAGTATCTGGTATAAACAATTTCTGGTAGAAATCTCTCGGAATCAGGAGCATATTTGTGTACAGTTATAACTCTCCTAGACTTTAGGCACAAGGTTAGTTAAGTTATGATTCTGATATAGTTCTTTTGTTTATATATATATGTACAGTAACATATATTATGAATAGAAATTTCCAGATGCATTCAGGTACTCTCCGCGCCGTTTGTGCTACATTCAGGTACTCTCCGCGTCGTTTGTTCTCTCTTAAGTTTTTTTCCTCCGTTTTAGGATTTCCAGATGCATGTTTTCCGTTTCCACGTCAGCAAATGCTTTTTTATCCTCAGTTTTCCGTCACCTCAAAAGTTAGGTTTTATATATATCTTAAAGAAGCTTTAAACCCTCATTTTTCATCCTCCAACTTCTGTGCAATGCCATTGGTCTCCTTCACTTGTAAAATCTCCTTTTTAGCCTTTAAACTTTTATTATTTTCACAAGAGGCCGTGTGATTGCTTATTTTATTTTCTATAGTAAATATTATTTGGAGAGGGGTGGAAATGTAAGAGGTTTGTATGTAAATATTTTGCTTACTTGAAAATTTTAAGAATAAAGTTAAATTTATTTAGGT